CCTCCAACTCGGGCGCCGTCTCTCCATTATCATCTGCAGGCGCGCCCTCTGCCCTCTCGCCTGCCGCCGCCTTTGCGAGGCTCACCAACGTCAACAACGCAAGCGCAGGCTCTGCGAATGCAAGTTCTGGCGGCTCGTCCATCGCTTCCGCTACGGGCGGCGGCGCCCCGAGCAACGACGACATCGAGGCCGTCATCCAAATGGCCATGGCCTCCTCCGCCAGCTCCAGCGCCTCCGCCGGACGGGATACGCGCACACAACTCTTCGTGGGCAACGTAAGTGCCCACATCCATCCTTTTCTGTCCATCTCAACCATCGCCGCTCGCAGCTCCCCTACCGAGTGCGCTGGCAAGACCTGAAAGACCTCTTCCGGCGCGCCGGCACCGTCCTCCGCGCCGACGTCGCCCTGGGCCCGGACAACCGGAGTAGAGGACACGGCACCGTGCTCATGGCTGCTGCGGAAGATGGCGAGCGCGCGCTGGGGATGTTTCAGGTGCGTCAAGCGCGGTTCCCCGACCCAAATTGGGACGCTCATGTGTGCCGTGGCTGATGGGTTGTTTTGGATTCGATTCGTTGGTTGTTCGGGCGTCGCAGGGATGGTGCTGGCAGGGGCGTGTACTGGAAGTGAGGAAGGATAGAGTGGGCGAGGAACTGCTAGGTGAGTGCCCTTGGCTTCATTTCGGTCGCTGTTGTGTTCCCGATCGCTTTCTTCATCTCCGCGCCGCCCTTGCTTCTGCACGCCTCGCATGCACACGGTTGGGGAGGCACAAGATGCTGACGTGCGAGATCAGCAGCAGGAATAGATAGTATACAGCCGAGCCCGATGGCGCTATCCGCAGTACCGTCGCCGGGATCGCTGAGTCGCTTCGGCTCTGGCGTTGGTGCGTGCTTGCGTTCGGTATGTAATCGGATGAGTCGTGCTGATTCAGAACAGAGGCCGACGACGTGCTCGCGGGCGTGCAGGCATTCGTGGCGACTAATTCGTCCAGGACGTCGTCAATGTCGGGAACGGGGGTGGGCACGCCGGCGGTCAGCCGGAATTTGTTCGTGGGGAATGTGAGTGGTCGTGTTCGGACTCGGTGTTTACTTTTCGCGTGTGTGCAAGGGGCCGGATCGGTGCGGCGAGCGTGTGCGGGGCTTACGAGCGGGCTCTGCGTGCGTGGGAAGATGATTGGGACGTGGTGCAATCTGAGCTGATGGTCATTTTCGTGCATTCGTTCAGCGACACTCTAAATTCATTCACTTTTTTTTATTAAAAAAAGATTGACATGACT